TTGGCAAATCTGGAAAAGGAAGAATGATAAACCATGAATTTTACTCTGGGAAAAAAAATAAAAGCTGGAAATATTTTTTGGTGATGTGACCTAACAATTGTGGGTCACTCCTCCCCACTCCTTCACCTGACTCAATTATTGTGAAGTGAAAGTATGACTGTGCAGATATTTTGTTTTAATAAACAAACCATGTTATTTGAATGACGTCTTTCAAATAGACTCGCGTTACACAGTTTCATGACACAGAAGAAATTACTAATGGCCCATCCCGGACTATTCTTTTAATTGTTTACTCTGTATTTTTGTGATCAGTGTTTTTTTAGACACTGCATGATCATCCTTTGGAGAATTTGAAACTGTATCACAATGTGTCTGTTTAGCTGGAAAACGATTGGTCGTGGAACAGAGATAAGCTACATAAAACCAACCGCTGGACACCGAAAGTGACAATTTGAATTTGTACACTGTCTTGTTCCTGCCTTTACCAGCCAGCTTTTTTACTCCACATTCCAACGCGTACTTGGCATCTTCAACTGATAACATGAAAGAAAAAGATCGTCGTCAAATCTGATTTGCGATAAGTCTTTGTGTGTTTACTGTCTTTCTACGGATCTGCAAGTGTTGTGTTGAGGAACTCTAGCCTGCACCGCGTGCTAGTGTTTGTCTTTCAAAGGTCAAACTTTTTACAGAAAGTACCGTAGCGACGATGGATAATAACGTGTCCAACATGAGGCTGCACATGAAGGCGCTGATCACCTCGCCTCGTTTCATCCGCAAGCGCTTTGCCAGCTTGCCATACATCACTGTGCAGCCGGTAAGTTATCTCTCAGATAAATGTGTCATCCACATACGAGTGTACATGTACATTGTACGTACCGAGATGGAAGGGTTGCAATTTTTGTTTAAAGGGAATATACATCAGTTGCTTTTGCTATAATTTTCAGAAATGGATGGAATTGGGGGGTTGGAAATATATAGCATATATAGTTACACTGACTTTTTTGAGGTTTTGGGTTCGAAAATGCTATAAAAACCAAGAAAAACAATCATTTTCCTGTAGTCTGGTTCCCTGACTCCATATAAGAAGAAACAGAGCAGTTTACATACATTGGGGAATTGTAAGGTCAGGGAACTAGTCTAGCTGGCTTGTACCCGTTCATAGGTGTGTAATCGATTGCAAACAAGTGCGATGGTCAATTGGGGCCAGTATTTGAAAAAAAAGCCAGTTTTTTTTCCAACGCTGGTCGGCCAACCAGCGTTGGAAATTGATACAAAAATACCACTTTTCTTGAAAATGACAGTATACCAGGTGCCATGATTTTACAGGATGCTTTACACTGTCATTCACTAACAGTCCAGCAAGGTATTTCAAAATGATTCGGTAGTTTTATTTTTTGATGTTTGCAAATGTTGTATTTTCCCTTTAACCTTTCTGCCATTGTACTGCCCCAAATTTCCCTGCCTGTTACGCCTCGTACTGCCCCAAATCACTCTGCCTGTTAGTCCTCATACTGCCCCAAACTGCCCCAGCTCTCAATGGTTTGATGGATTCAATCCAATTTGATACAAGTGTTAAAGGGTTAAACATTAGTTTTGCATGATGAATTTTTACACCTGTACCGCTACACATATTGTACAAATGTACATGTACATTACATTTTATATAAGTATTGGGGGGGGGGTGGTTTTGGGGGGGGATTTCTGGGCCTTGAATGCCCTCAGTATTTTTTGACGGCCTGATTTCTTGGAGTTTTCGTATTTGTTCAGAGATTTTAACCTCGGTTATATTCCAGATTTTCCCTGATATGCCGTCCTTTAGGCCTAAGAAAATCAAAATATTGGAGCGCAGGGATTTCAATGCCTTTCAACATTTAATTTTGAAGTTACTAAAAAAAAACAAAAAAACCTGCAATTTCTGTAAAAGACAGAGAGACCATATATATAACCCAAACATGGCAATACCATGCTGCAGCTTTCCAGTGCTCTCATCAGTCCACTTAAATACTATTTACACCGAATATTCCGTATAATGTTGCATACAGTATGCTTAGATCTCATTATCGTAGTGGGCCTTTGTACATATACAAATACACAACATGCCAGCAGAAGTGCATGCTGTGGCAAATTAAATCTAATTGAATTGGCAGTGCGTCAGTGTTGGTGCATTATTTAGCTCAATAAAAGAGACTGGAAAAAAAACAGTCATTAAATAGGGACTAATGGAAATTGAATCCAATTTACATTACAGCTAGTGTAGCATGAATAAGTTATTACAGAGATCAGTTTTGCCATTAGTGTATATTGCAAATGAGTGTATTGCCATATAATTCCAATGGGGGTGCTGTTCCAATCCGACGATTATTAACAATTATATTATAGAGTAGAGTACAATTAAATACCCCCTAACCAAGCTGGCTCTGCCCTTATTTTGTGCATAGGCGGACTTTATTACCAGTATAATTTTTGGGGTGTCAGAGCAGCCGGGGGGGGGGGGGGGGGGGGGGGGTTGCATAATTTTTAATGAATTTCCATTAAAAAAATTTTTTTTAACAGATCCTGATTATTTACTCCTCCAACTCCCCTCCCCCCTCCCCCCCCCCCCCCCCCCCCCCCCCCCCCCCCCCGAATCCGTGCCTGACTGGATTCGGACAAGAGCATCAATCAATTTTCAAAAGTGATGGGGGGGGGGATGTACGGGTATACCTTGGTCAGAACTAATGCGAGCGCAAAGCCGTAGTGGCGGGGGGGGGGGGGGGGTGATTCTAGATGCTCTATGGTGTGATCTGAGGCAATTTCAGACCACTTTAACCAAAAAATTTTTTAAGCAAATGATTATCATTTAAACATCATTTTTCGAGGTTGGAGTTATTGAATCATCTATTCTGAGCTATATAATCATATGTAGGCTACAATATATATATTTGGGGACACAAAAAGTGGTGGTGGGGGGGGGGACAAACTATATCCCCCCACTTTGTTAAAAAGTGGGGGTGACTTGGTCCCCCTCCCCTTCCCCCACCGATTGATGCCCATGGATTTTGAAGAGGTGCGTACAGGGAGCATAAAAGTGTTAAGGTCGAAGGCTGATTGTGTCAACAACATGATGTCAACATGAACTACAATTGTAGTTTCACAGGGATATTCACTATTCTGTGTGTAGCTGTCGAAGTCTTAACTGGTTTGAGTCTTCTTTCTTTCGAATTCGATATTGGTTCTTGGTTTACTGGCTGTTATTTCACAATTTTGTTTGGCCCTAGTCTCTACCAACTTGAAGGCAAATTTGTGAGGAATTTTTTTGGCACATGCTGTTTAAGAGGTATTCTTTCCACTGGAACAATTAAACCAAAATGTAAGCAATACACAATAAAAACTGAAGCTGTGTTGGTATCGGTAGTATCAATTATTCACACCAGAAGTTTTATTTTTGTCCTTTTTCTGGCTCCAGAATTCTCTGAAACAAATCCGAATTCCATCGTGTCGCAGTTTCACTTTAAAGTTTTCATCCCAGAGGGAAAAAAAAATGTTATCAGTTTGAAATGTCTGTGCTGCATTGTTCTTATGTTACGAATGACGCAACCAAAGAAGAGTGCGAGCGGAGCTGGGTCAAAACCACTTCAACATCACGACCTTTGTCCCCCATTCACCCAAAGTCACGCAGCAGTGTGTCACATGGGAAACTCCTTTTCCAACTAATCACGCTCATTAACATTGATTTTATTTGTTTGTAAGCGATACCCCTGCTTTGTTCTTTCCATCAGAAGAAAGTAAACAAAAGAACTTGAGCGGATGTGGGCTGGGTTTTTTAAAATATCACTAGAATGAGTGAGATTTAACACCCAGGTATCAGTTGCTGGTTTTCACAGTGGAAAAGCTGACCGTTTACTTAATGATTATAGGGGGTTGGTTATTGTGCAATGGGGTGTGTGAGTGAGTAACGCAATTGAAGGGATCATCTGTCACTACTGTTGTTTGTTATGGTTTTTTATGATGTGGGCCGCAAATAAACCACATCAGAAAGGCCGGGGTTGGCCCATGGGTCATCCATGACTTTGTGGAAGTATCTGATGTGACTGCTGCCTGTTATCCTGTCATAAAATATACAGAAGGGACACTGATGTGACGTCATGATTGTCATCGGTAGTTAAAAAGAACTTTCCAGCTTTGCGGTCACATGCTGGTGAAGTAGGCACTTCCGTGGGTGACCACGCTTGCCCTTGGAAGGAAACACATGGGTATTTTTCGGGTGGCAGGTTTCGAGAAGTCAACATTTGAGAAGTCAACGGCCATCCGTCAACACAGGAGTTTTTCTGTTGTCACTGACACTGAAGTGGAATTTCTGTCTGCAGCATAGGATAAATGTTTGAACTGAATAATCCGTGACTGCCATAAAGTTTACTCTAATATTCTGTCAACAGTCTTGTGTCAATAACTGTATTTAGTAGTAGTGCTGAACAGTTTTAGGGACCCATATTGCACATTTTTTGTGGACGCTCCATGAAGCTCAAGACTACCAAATTCCGCTCTCGGAATTCTGGCTTTATCGTTGCAAGAAGGAAGGTAAGAAGTCTTGCCAGCTATCCCAACAGTTTCAGGGGGAAATCATTCAGATAATGTACAAAACATTTTAGTGAACCGAAAAAAAGTGAGCCGTTTTTAGGGTCGGACAATTTTTGTGTAGTAACTGTACATGTATTAGTATGATCACATTGTACTACCGGTAGTACTGTGATCACAGATATGGAAAAACCATGGTAAGTTTTCACATCTATGTGTTTGGTTTTTTTTTTTTTTTGCGTTATAACTTAACTCTCATCACAGGTACATTGCACGAATGGTATATGTACACGTATGTACAGTGAAATTGTGTTGTACCATTTGTTTATTATGGATTCTCTACGCAGGTTTCTTCAGGCTTGCAAGCTATGGTTCCTACAGCACCTCTGTGGACTTAATAATTTCACAAACCCCAAAATGCTAACTTTTCTTCCATTTCTCTACAGGATGCTAGCGGCATGGACCGACTAAGCCCCGAGGTATCGTCGGACCTCTCCTCCCCCCAGCTATCCCATCATGCCTCGCTGACCAGCAAGGACACCCTCCCGTTGCCGGACTCGGACGTCATCACGCGCTCCCGCAGCCTGAAGGGCAAGCGCCACTCAGAGTCCAGCCTGGACAGCGGCAGCACGCGGCCGGCCAGCGTGGCTGTCTGCGGCTCGCCCAAACTCGGCCGGCGCTCGTCCAAGACTGGTTCCTCCACCAGTCTGAACTCGGACTGCATGGACGCCCCCATTGTGAATCACGAGGAGATTCTGCAGCTGACCAGGGACGTCAGGACGTTTTCGGAATCTCTGAATCGACTCAAGTTCATCTTCAATCCGGATGGAGGTGAGTGAAATGTTACAATCATGGTTTTGATTTATGACTTGTCATGGTCGTATTTGCATATTTTTGATATTTTAACATAAATTTGATCCGTGACTTTGAAGTTTTGGTACAGTTTGTGACTTTCGTCCACCAAATTTGTTTTTCAGTTTTTCAGTCGTTCATTACATGTACAGGGTGAGTAAAAAAATGAAACCCAAATGTCGGGACCATTGTTTTAGTGAAGTTCTGCATGTAGCACTTTCAAAATCTAGGATATGAAAGCCCAATTCATAAGCTTTCTTTTAGTACAAGAATCAATCAAATCACTCATGTACTTTTCAAGTTACGGAATGGTAACCACAAACACCGTTTTCAAGTTCTGTCCACAGATCACAAAAAGGTAAGTGTTTCAGCAGAATGAAAACAAATCACAAAGGGATGTGTGTGAATTGTTTTTGTTTTGGGGACAGAACGCACACCTTTTTTGTGATCTGTGGATACCCACCCTGCCTATAGCAATTTGTGGCTGTCATATTGCTCAATTCAATTGTACATACTGGGTAAAATTTGAGATCCAAAGAGGATGTTCATTAAAGCAACAATCCATCATTTGCAGCTATCCAAAAAGTAACTGACGTAATTATTGTTGAAAAACATACTTGATTGAAAGATAGTAAGGGGACTAAACTCCCTGAAAAATAATTCTTTCTGGCAAGCTGTCATTTTGAAGAAACCCCGTTAGTAGTATTTCCGTTAGTAGTTCGTTTTTTTTTATTCTGCGAAGCGCGCGCAAGCGTTGACACGATGCACACGCGCGCACGGTTGCTATTATTCGTCGGTACAGTGTGCGACATCGCGTAGCTGCAATGGGCTCAGTGAGAACGTGTCTCGGACGCTGCATTCAGGCCCAATTGAAAACATGATTCACCAACTTTTGATTTGAAATCGAGATCCTAGAATGTTGTTTTTCTCGAAATACACAGCTGAAGCTGAGCTGAAAGTTCATCAGGTTAGTTGTTTAGCACCCTTCTTTAGATTTTGAGCACGTTTGTTGCTTCCAACGAACAAAATGCACAAATTACAAATGATGGACTAAGAACCAAATGCTGGGTACATTTATCATTACGTCCTTCTACTGGTACTAGATGTACACGTGTATACATGTACATGGTACCAGAATGTAATTGTATACACCCTGCATACATTTTACATCACTAATGGCGCCATTGCTGTTGGCATGAATGCAGAATGAATGTCGTTTAACCACTGGCAGATGGGAGGTAAATTGCTAGCCCGACTGGAATGCCGTACCCGTGTCTTGAAAATAAACCCAGGAGCTCTCTCCCCGCAAATGTCATCTCCTACTTGTCTTCACTTCCCGAACTTGTCTTGGGGTCATACACAGCTGTACACGGTCAAGTACTTGGCTGAATATTGTTGCTTTGAGCAGCGTAATGTATTTTTGTCGCTTTCCCCGCTCGTTGAGAAGTGCTTTTATGCGCTGGCATTTTTTCTTCAGGCCAACTTGAATCGTCGATGGCGATTGGTCGGTCCCATAGCAACAGCAGTGCAATATGAAATAGGTAATGTGTAGCCTTTTTTTGCACTTGTGGTTTTGGCAATGAAACTTCAGAGACAAGAATGCATTAATTACATCATTTTTCTTAAAAAGAAATGACTCACCAAACCTGTGAACCTCTAAAAAGCCTTGATTGAGCTGTTCTACATGTACATGTATGGCGACTTTGTGAGTTGAGCACTGGTCACACAAGAATGCCATGTAAAGACAAAAAAAAGTGTTCTGCTTCTGATTACATAAATGCACTGTCGGGAATAAGGCTTTATGTTTGTTATAACCAGAATTTTGTATTAACAGAGTTTGTACTAACGAGATTCGACTGTACTTGGCATTTGAAAATAGGGTAGGCAGGTAGGGGAATTTTTTTGGGGGGGGGGGGCATTTTTTTGGGGGTGTACGATCATAATTATGGAGGTGTCTGCGTGTAGTCAAGGGTAAAAGGTACATGTAGTTCTATTGTCATGTTTTCCTGTCATTTATAGGGTACCGGTAGGTCGGGTAACCGGAGGCAGAACTATTATTTTCATTCATCTGTTGTATGCATGCACAGACTGCAATTGTTTGGGTCAGGTTGTGTCATTTTGTCAGGGTTTCATCACGAGCATGTCCGCTGCTGGGGTTGGATCAGCTTATTTTATCCACAGTAAAATGAGTTGGTAAACAAAAGTATTAATAACATCAGCTTATTTTATCCACTGAAGTAAAATGAGTTGCTAAACAAAAGTATTAATAACATATACATTCCAATTGAATCAGACAATGTCTATGTGCGTGTGTTAAATGTCTTAAAGAAGTCTGGCAAATGTGCATTGTTGTTTTGAAGTGCTAGATCAAATTTTGTTTTTCAATTTTCAGTCCATTTTTGCATCGTATAATTAGTCCTCATCTTTGACCCTCTAAATAACTCTGATGTAAATTTGCAATCCGATAGCGAACCCTGTTGTACGTCCCATTCATCAATGCCTTCTTCCAATACGCTCCTCATCAGTGTGCGTCACAAATGTCCTACTATTATAAGAAACCACTCCATCACAATGAGAGAAAAAAAGTGGCGCAAATTGAACTTGTTGCTCTATCCAATTATTACGTACAGTTCAAGGAATGGACAGTTTGCGGTAACACCATTTGAAAATCTTGTGAGATTAATGGTTCTATAAGGCCAAAAAAAAAAAGTCTCCGGTTTCTTGTAAGTGCGCGTCACCGTAGCCATGCGCGTCAGCAAAATGAAAAAGTGTTTTTTTCAATGAAAGATGATGTCTCAAAACCACCAAACTCACTGGTTTGACTGGAATCCTGCTGCTGCACAATTTAAACGTGTTTTTAGATGGGGTTATGATCGAAAATAAGCTTTATGTGGCCTCTCTGGTCTCCCATAATATTTGCACTACCGGTAAGTTTAGTCGGGCACCATTTGCAGTCATCAGCCGACATTTGAAGCAAAAAAAAACATTTAAAAAAAAAAAAAGCCGCGTCGCCTTACCACTTTTTGGGCAAGCTCCATACCAGAAACCGGAGACTTTTTTTTGGCCTAATGACAAACCGTTCCATCATAATGAAGAAAAAATTTGTGGCGCAAATTGAACTTGTTGCTTTATCCAGTTATTACGTACATTTTTAGGAATGGAAAGTTTGCTGTAACACCATTTGAAAATCTTGGTAGTTTTGTGGTTCTGAGAAGAACGGGTTGTTATAAAATCTAACGTTTTGAACAGTGTGCCCTGTTCTTGGTGTATTTTAACGTCAGATTTTCAGATTAAAAATGAGAAGGTACAGTCGTCTGACTTTGTCTCATATCAAAAATTTACAATTTGCAAAATCCTATGCTATGTATATTTTGGATGGTGTACAAATTTCACATTGATCACTACCACAAAAACAACAAAGTGGCATAGGCTGAGCAGCAAACATTTTGTTGTGTTAGTAAATAACGTCACCAATAATCAGATCAATAACGGCAACAATATCTATAGAAGACCTGTCCATAATTGATCAATCAGAATTGCCCAGTTTTCCCTCCGCCTACTCAAGCTAATCCTGCCCGTTTTGTTCAGGAGCACGCACCATAGGGAGAACAAAATGCCCCAGCGGACCTCATTAGATCGCTATCGCGCTCTACTGCCCCCCTCCCAATCACACCTTTCAATGAGGGGGAGTGTTGCCTTTGGCAGTTTTGAGAATCGATCGCAGCCTTTTAGGAAGGGTTCTCTGTGTGATCAATGCTTATTGATCGGGTTTTATTGATTCGGAATCGGAAGAGAAGGGGGAGGGTTCAGTGGGTCATTGCAAGCTGGTGTTGGTTTTTTTTTGGGGGGGGGGGTTGGATTGGAGAAAGCTGGTAAAATTGTTTCCACACGATGAATGAAACTGTTGCAGTTTTACTTTTAAGCACTAAATATCACAATTTTTCATTGGACTAAAAAAGTGACCTTGAGTAGAAGTTCATGCCAAGGTGGTTATACTAAATCCTCCTTCGCCCCAAAAGAGTTGTCAAAATGATCAGTGGCGCAACCAGGATTTGGCTTTGGGGTCTCACAAAAAATGTTGTTTACATTTTTTAGAAGTTAAATTTTGCCCAACATTTTTGGCCACAGAAAAAAAAGTGTTTGTTTTTGTTTTTGTTTTTTGGGTTTTTTTTGGGGGGGGGGGGGGCGGGGGGTTCTACCGGTATTTTGACGTTGGTGGCACCACTTACATGAACACCCATATTAAATTACTCGAAAATAGGCCACGTACATATCACCAAGGTCAAATCATGGGACTAAAAAAAAAATTTATTTTTTTTAAAAATATATATATATAATAATTGACAACCTCTTGGAAGGGGGGGGTTGGGGTTGGGTGCGCCACTGAAAATGATCATATTTCTTATAAATAAACTTTTAAGAATGCTTTTGTTAAAAGGACATGTACTTGTCTATAGGATGGCATGGCATTGTGTCATGGTAATCCGAGCCATTGAAAATATCTTTTCATTAGCACATGTACATGTTTTCTTCGGCTGCTGTGTGTTACCATTCATCACTCCAGACTCACGAACCATTCCTTTTTATGAAAGTTGGTCTGGGAGCTAGATTAGGAGATTTAAATTTTTGTTTGAGTCTTCTTTACTTCCTTTTATTAAAGTCATTGATCTTTAGTTTATATGTTTGGAAGTCATTCAACCCATTTCCTCCATTTGTACACAGTTCCGTTTAACACACAAAAATGGATGCTGTACATATACCAGTATATGTTCCAATTTTTAAAGTTGGAATGGCATTATGAAACTTATGAAACTGGGCGCTAAATGTTCCCTTTTTTCTCTCTCTGTTTTGGTGACTTTTTGCCACTGGCAGACTTGGATCCAGAGGTGGGTTTTGGGGGTCAAAACCTACCAGTTCTGACTCATAAATTTTGTTGCCATAGAAATATAGTACAAATATTTTGAGCCCCCCCCCCCCAC